GAAGGAACGGACGAATTATTTCCTGCAAAAGTCCCCTCCCCTTTCGCTCCTCTTTTATTTCCTATGGGAGGGGCCAATCACCTTCCACCTGTGACTTTACTCCCAAGTCTACCCTGATTTCTGAGTTGTTCTTTTCTTCTGGCAGCTCTGCGCATGCGCGCACTAGGAACAGGCTCTAGATGTTCCTCTGCCGCACTGATTTCTAGCTCTGTAGGCACCTGATCACTGCCAGACAGCCTCGGCCCCGTCTCTGCCTCCGACACAGAGCTCTCATCTGAGCTTTCCCCAGCCTCCAGGACTGGCCCATGCTCCTCCCCAACCTCCTCACTGTCTGACTCTACTGCCAGCTCTGCTGGCTGCTGGTGGGCCACAACAAGAACATTAGTGGAACCTAGATACACAATTACATTGGAAAGGCAAGCTATAAGAAGGTGTGTTTGTTCTTTCTGTTGACTCTTGGCAACATTTTCCAAACTGGTTTGCCCTTGCCTTCTTCCAAGAGCTGAAAGGAGAGGGACTGGCTCAAGGTCACCCAGTTGGTTTCACATGTAAGTCAGAAGTAGAACTCATGGGGTTCTGGTTACTAATTTAGCACCAAACTGATTTTCAAAATTCTTAACTAAGTAAATACAATTCAATCTATTTTTGCCAGCGCTGCAAAAATCCAGAGATTTAAAAAAGCCAAACACTAATTAAAAAGGCAAGATTTATTGTTTTCTATTTTCTGTTAAATACAGTATTTATACTAAAAATAAACTTATTTGAAAAAGAAAGGGAAAAAACAGACAACTATGCTTTTAACTACAAGCTCCTCAATTAAAACCCCAATACTGGCTTCCAGTAATAAATAAATTTTCAGCGATTGCTTTCTGATAAATGATCATGACTCTTCATTATTAACGATCATGACTCTTCCTTATTTTTCCCTAATTTATTCCATCATTGCTTAGCCAGGTTAATTCTATTTCCAAATCCCAGCAATGCCGATGCCTAAAATTTCATTGAATATACTTTTTTTTACATAATGTCATTTTAAATTCAAGTCTAGGTTATTCAAACTTTTTAGGTTCTAAATCCTGAATGCACTAGCAGTTCAATCGTAAGAGAGTGCTGTGGCCTGCCAGCAGAGTTGGCAGCAGAGTCAGACAGTGAGGAGGTTGGGGAGGAACATGGGCCAGTCCTGGGGGCTGAGGAAAGGTCAAACGAGGTCTCTGCATCAGCAGCAGGGAGCTAGAGAGCAGTGAGGCAGAGGAGTAGATGGAACCTGTTCCCAATGTGCATATACGCAGAGCTGCCAGAAGACAAGAACAACGGAGAAAGCAGGGTCAACTTGGGAGTAAAGCCACACCTTGGAGGTGATTGGCCCCTCCCATAGGAAATAAAAGCGAACGGGGAGTGGGCTTTTGCAGGAAACAATTCATTTGGACGTTTCAAGAGTGGAAAGTTCTGTTTGTGACTATAAGAGACTCTCTGCCAAGTTTTGCCTGTGTTTGGAAACTAGTTATTTGGCAGCTCGCCAAACGAGATAAGGTTCGTGTTGCTAAACATTCCTCTGAAAGACTGTTTGCTAAGCCTTGCGGACTGGGAATGAAAGGAATTCACAGTCGTGTAAATAAAAGGGGTTTTGCCGGGACCAAGACTCTGCTTCTTGCTTTTTAAGGAAGCCTGGGTCAGAACATAATTATGTCTCAAAGTTGTTTTAAAACTCAAGTTTATATTTCATAATTCTTTTAATATTTTTTCTTCTTCTTGATCTACTTAAATTGATGCACTGAGTACCGATCACATAAGTTCCATCATACAGGTAGTTCTTGACTTACAACCATTTGCCTAATGAATGGTTCAAATAAGTCCTCGCACTTATGAATATCACAGTCACATGATCAAAAAAAAATTGGGCACTTGGAATGTCCCACCGTCCTGGGATCACTTGCCATTTGTGATTTTCCTAGCCAGCTTCTGACAAGCAAAGTCAGTGGGGGGGGTGGGATTTGCTTAATGACCATGCGATTCACTTGGTTTATGTTTGGTTTGGTTTATTGGATTTATATGCCGCCCTTCTCCCAAGGACTCAGGGCAGTGTACAACATTAAAAAAAACACATATTGCAAAAGTTAAAAAAATTAGAATATCCAAAAAACAAACCCAATTAAGATTAACAATAACATTTTAAAAAAGAATTCAATTAAAATTAACAATAATCAAGTGAATCTATTTTGTTTTGTTCAGGCTAGGCCGGCTTGCTGGAAAAGCCAACTTTTTAGGGCGCGTCGGAAGAACCGGAGGTCGGGGATTATACGAAGCTCCGGGGGCCTCTC